GCCCCCGCAGCCTCGACCTGCTGGGCTCTGGCGATCCTACCGCCTCAGTCTTCCGAGTAGCTGGAACTACAGGCGCGCGCTACCACGCAAGGCTGATTTTTTAATTGATTGTAGAGATGAGGTCTCACCACATTGTCCGGGCTGGTCTCGAACTCACGGGCTCAGGTAATCCACTCACCTCAGCCTCCCAAAGTGCTGGGATGACAGGCTGAGCCACCGAACCCGGCCAACACCATTGCTCTTTATAGGGCAAGATGAGGCTTGGAGGAAAACCTCTACAGTCAAGGTCAAAGTCTTAGGGTAGTAAAGGTCGCAGCACTTGGGAATGCTCTCAATGCTGGTTACACTGGCATGTTGTAAATGTGTATATATACTTCAGTAAAAAGATTCTGGACCTGGTCTGGTGGCGCACTCCTATAATCCGAGCACATTGGGAGGTCAAGGCGGAAGGATCGCTTGCACCCAGAAGTTCAAGACCAGCCTGGGAAACATAGCGAGACCTAGTTTCTAAAAAAAAATCAAAATATCAGCTGGGTGTGGTGGCAAGCACCTATAGTCCCAGCTGGGAGGCTGAGATAGGAGGATTGCCAGAACCCAGGAGGTTGAGGCTGCGGTGAGCCATGATTATGCCACTGTACTCCAGCCTGGGTGACAAAGTAAGACACTGATTCAAAAAAAAATTTTTTTTTAAATTAAAAACAGAATGTCCCCTGTCCCCTTGCTTCTATAAGGCTACCCTCCCAGCTTCCCACAGGGGACTCCAGGAGGTTCACCTGCTCATCCAAGAATGCCCCCGTCCCCGTCCCCGCCCCCACCTGGGCCCAGCATGCAGGAGATACCCTAGGAATGCCAGTGGGGTGCCCACCTTTCAGCCACACCACCCAGCCTCTGGTACCCCGACTTCAAGACAGGGAGTCGCCTCTGCCCAATGAGACCTGAGCAGAAAGGTGGCTGCCAGGAGGGTCCCAGTCCCTGCCCCAGGCCCTGGGCACATGAGAGGGAGGCTGGCACCTGCCCCAGGAGGGCTGGCCGGCGGGTGCCTCCAAGGGCCAGATGCCAGCGAGGACGTGGGGATGACGCCCAGGACCATGAGGGTCCAGGACCTTCAGAGAAGGGAGCAGGAGGGAAGACCAGAGGCATTAGCGGCTGCCACAGGGCACCAACAGGCAGAGACACCACCCACAAAGACACCCGCCCCCTGCCCAGCAGACGTGGCACTCCTGGGCCGGGCTCCTGCTCACCATCCCAGCCGCCCAGGGCAGGGATAACTGATGATCCCACGCAGGTGTGAGGCTGACTAGGCCCTGGCTGCCCGGGGTTCCTGTGGCAGGTCTCGGGCCCAGGCCCACCCGTCCAGCCAAGGCGAGACTGCCCCATCCCCCGCCCCCCAGGCACGCTGGGATTCCACGTTGCGGTGCTCAGCCTTCTGGGGTCACAGAGCCCTCAGAAGAGCTGATCCCCCCCCACACACACACAGCACTGTCGCCAAAGCCCCACAAGGCCCCCCTGCCAGGGGGATCCAGCTCCAGCCCGACCACCCTCTGCTAAAGCAAGCAGGGACAGAGATGGGGACACAGAGTTGTCAACTCTAACCAAGCTCTTCCGGGCAAGAAAAACCAGATGGTCCCGGGAGCCGGGGATTGTCCCAGGAGGTGGAGGACTGTCCCAGAGGCAATGCACCCATTGCTGCAGGCCTGAGCATACTGTGGGGGCTGAGGGGGGGCGACTGGCCCAAGTCATTCTGAGCTGGGAGGGCCCCACAGACGAGACCCTCCCGCCCACTGCTTTCCGGGGAGGCGAGGGGGGCATCCCCGAATCACCCTGCCCCTCCCCTGCCCACAGCACCAGGAACCCAGTTGCCACCCCCCGCCCTTCCCAGGACCCGCCAGCCCCGGGAGGGAAGCAGGGCGGCCCGGGCACCTACATCCCAGCTCTGCCCTGTTCTTTCTCCCCAAACCGGAAAGACGGCATTTCACCAGGCTGCGTGGGTGCCCTCTTCAAAGGCCAGAGCAGGGGTGCCTCCATTTCCTGAGCCTTCCCCAACCTCGGCAGGCCAGGAGAGCCAGGAGGGGCGGCCTTGGCAGGGGGGCTCTTTCCAGGAGCTTCTAGGACGCTCAGAGACAACCACACCCTCCCGTCACCTGGGGAAGCCGAGTTCCCTCTCAAGGGCCGGGTGGCCCCAGGGCCCCAGGGGAGGCACCGTGTGGGTGGCCTCCACGCCTGCTCCCCTGCTCCCCCTCCCAGGCCCAGGGAGCCCTGGCTCATGGGGCATGCTGGCATCCCGGCCTCGCCCCAGGGTCCTGCAGCCCCCTCCTCTCCAAAGGGGAGAGGAGCCAGCCCCTCAGGGGATGCGGCGGGGTCAGAACCCAAAGAGCGGGAGAGAAAAGGACAGAGGCTGGGTGTGGTGGCTCTCGCCTGCCATCCCAGCACTTTGGGAGGCCGAGGCAGGAGGGTCGCTTGAGTCCAGGAGTTCGAGACCGGACAGGGAAACATAACAAGACCCTGTCCATCTCTACAAAAAAAAAAACTAGAGGAGACATGCACTTCAGCCTGGAAGACAAAGCAAGACCCTGTCATTCATTCATTCATAAGTAAAAAAATAACAGCCAGGGCAGTGGCAGTGGTTTTCAGTAA